GAGGGAATATATTACTTCCTCAATCCCATTTTGTAAGATAATTTTCCTATTTACTTGGTCAATACAAATCACTATTAATGTCTTGCTTTATATATCAAATTTTTATCAAATTTGATTCAGGTTTTTGCGACTTTGTAAAGTTTTTAATATAGTTTCTGAATATGTAATTTTTTTTCTAAAAATAATTTGAGTGCTAACAGAGATTCGTTTACTTTATCATTGGTCAAAAATCGTAAAATGTAAAGTGTCTTACATAAAGGTTAGAACACTATATACTTGTATCATTAATTAGAGCATATCTCATAACATCTTAGCTTAAAATTTGTTCATATGGTGGTGTATTTAGAGGTTCATTTCTTGTTATAGATAGTTAATTCCCACATGAAAACTTTACCTCCAATCTTACACATTTGTTCTTGCTTATATATACTTTTTTGTAAATACACAGTTCTCTTCATAAATGTTTGTGCTTATATTCTTTATTTTTTTATTTTCAATGCATTCTAGTTCTAATTTTGCTTGTTATTTTATCTAGGTTCTTCCAACTTATAATTCAACATTAACATTGTGCCTGAAACCTCTAATTCAAAAATTGTTTACGACTAGTCAATGTAGCAATAACGCTTTCTTATTCTTATTTTCTAAACAAGAATGGCACAATCTTATGACAAAACCAAAAAACGAAACATTAAAAAAAGAGCTCGTTAAAACCTACAATAAAGTGTCAGAGGAACCATCTATAAAAAAGTAAACAATGATTAATGAGATTAACATATAATTACAATAAACTTCGATTAATGAATGCACACACCAAGTGAAATGTTCTATATAAATCTCAACTCCATTTCATCCATCCCAATATTCAATATATTCAATCAATCGCCTCTCGTGGTATTTCAAAGGAAGAAAATAAATAGTTATATCAGAATAGGCTCTGAGATACTCCATAAAATACAATTTATAAGATTCACATAATGAAAACTACATTTACATTTATAATATATGTAGTACTAAGGATGTTTTCTTTTGGACTGTTTTCAGTCCCAGACCAGACCAGACCAGACTTAAACAGACCAGACCAGACCAGACCAGACTTAAACAGACCAGACCAGACCAGACTTAAACAGACCAGACCAGACCAGACCAGACCAGACTTCCGTAGTTATAGAATACACAGAGACCAGACGTTTACCAGACCAGACCAGACCAGTTCAGACCAGACCAGACCAGACCAGACTTAAACAGACCAGACCAGACCAGACCAGACTTAAACAGACCAGACCAGACCAGACCAGCAAATTTCAGTCCAAAAGAAAACATCCTAAAATATGTTGGGTGTGTTCCGGAAAAACAAAGAACATTAACTAATTAAAATTAATCAAATAGCCAAAGAAAAATCATAAATAAGATGGAACAAAAAATGCAAAAGCTTGTGCAATGCACAATGTCCTTAAAATGTATTAATTGTCTCCTACGGTGCTAGGAGTGTTGCAACGATCGTTTCCCAGGATACGGTGGCAAACGAACGATCGTTTGAGCACACAAACGACAGTTCCGATGAACGGGAACAAATGACACAACACAGAGAAGTTTTAAGGAAATTGGAGGTGTGTTTTTGCTCGAAAACTACGTGAACACTTTGTTGTGTGATGTGTTGTTGCAAAGCACGTGTCAGCTACTTATATGGAAGGATTTGTTGTGTGTTAATGGCATATTAAAGGACATGAATGTTGTAAATCAATGACCAGTCCGTTGGGCTTTGATTCATCCGTGAACTGTCCACTTAGTGTTGCAGAACGTTGGGCATTTATTGGTGTAATGCCTCAGCAACAGACTGCTTCTGGTCGTTCTCCCAACGGGGGCTGAACCTGGAGCAAAAAATAGAATGCTACGGGAAGAAAAAAAATTAAAAGTAAGCTTTAGAAGATAGATTTTTGGCTGACACTCGTGTTCACAGGTCGCCCGCGCACGTAAGTCGTGGTTTTTGTTCTCCATTTTCGGGATTTGATCGGCACCCCTGCACGCGCAGAGAGCCTTTCTACCTAAGGTTCCCTTTATAAATGGGTGAAAATCCATTGGGTTTTCCGGTGTGGGAAATATCACACTAGAAACCCATCAATTTTCTAGTTTTTTCTATTTCAACGAGTAAACTTCGAGAATCAATTTCTCATTCACCCGTTATCCGTTTTGAGTGTATCATATATCGAATTGTATCCCTTAACAAGGTTTTACAACATTTTATTCAACACATAACTTTTTTATCATTGCCCTCATACAAAATAAATTGTTAGCTAATTCTTTTATTAAATCAAACCTTTGAAAGAACAAAACAAATAAATAATAGTAAAAAAGGAGCATAATAAATTCTAATTTTGAAAAGGGGGACATAAAAATTAAGAAGCATAAACAGAAAATGACAACTGTACAGTCATATTCAGCGTTTGAACATGTCTTTGATATCATTTGTAGTCTTCAGATTGACAATACTGAGTATTATCAGTTATCACTGGTTGAAAGTAGATCAAGTAATTCACTTTTGGTTGTTTGCTACTCCCTCGCAGTCATGTGTTTGTTGATGTTCACAGGTTAAAAATTTCTTTTGCTATTTGGGATCAGATGCAAACCAAGTTTATTCCAGCCAGTCTAGCATGTTCAATGGAACTCAAGTGTATGTTAGCTCACATTAAAAAGAAAGGCAATCAATCTATGGAACATTAGTGAAAGGATGTTAAGGTGTTTGTTGATTCACTAATTGCTATCAACTTTATCGTGTCTCGATCTACCTTATTCAAATACATCATTATTGGATTGACACCGAAATATGAATCTCTTGTTACGGTCATATCCTGAGTTTCACATAATATTTCCTTTGATGAGCTCCATCGATGGCTACTAGCATAAGAGTAACACATACTTTTTCTCATGCAACAAGACCAGAACAATCTACATCAGGACTTCGGATCTACCACAGATTCATGACAATGGACTCATTCACCGTTCGTGCTCCCATGGGAGAGTGACCATGGCCGTGGAGGCTGTGTGCATGGTTGTCATGGCCAGGGTCGCTTCCAGCCACACAAGCAATCGTCTGTGCCACTGGCACATGCTTCTGGTTTTGGCTCACTTGCAGGGGTGTAGTCAATACTAAAATAACTATATAGGTGTTGATATTTGTAAGTTTGCTTTGTAACAAATTTAAATATTTACCCTTATCTGATCTGTTTGTGATTCTAACTTTGAATATGCAGGTTTCTCTTGAGGTGAGGGTATTATTGGGTCCATTCCACCTCCAGCAACATGCCAAATTTATTTTTTTGCAGGTCATTCCGCACTCAAGTCTCCCTCTCCTTTCACTCAGGCGTCTGCACCAGTTCTACTAGTTCTCAATGACGAAACTAATGATGTCTCATGGTATCGACAATTGGATGCTTCTATTCAAATGACTTCTTCCGCAAGTACTTTGGCTTTAATAAGTCTCCTTATTTTGGTTCCACCGTGGTTAGCGTTGTTACTTGAATAAATTATATTTTAATTCTATAAGACAAATTTATATTTTTAGTTGAAGCTTCTTCATACTCCATAGTTCCTATGTCCATCCCATCATTAGGTTATTTAAAAAGTTAAGTTAAGTACTTATGAAATACTCCATCAGTCCTTAAATTAAGTTTACACTTTCCTTTTTGGGATGTCCCGAAATTAAGTTCTCGCTTCAATTTTTATCTATATTTGATAAGTTTTTATTATTCATTTATCTTTTTGCCCTCACATTACTTCATTAAATTGATTTGTGATTCACTGTTTCACTATTCATTATTCTTTATTATACCCATTTGGACACTACACATTTTAGGGAAAAGGCTCAGATAAACTTTTCTATTATGTCCAATCCGTTACTTAAGCCCTTGTATTAAAAAAAGTATCATATAAGTACGTCTACTTTACAAAATTGATCAATTTGACCATTTAATCAATTTTTGACCTCTAATAGCATGTTTGTAATATATAAAAATTCAAAAAAAAAAACTTAAATTTGAATAAATATTTACGAAAATTGTAAAAAATTTCAGAATATCAAAGTCAATATTTTTTATTTTTTGAAAATATTTGTATATTCTACAACTATTTAAAAGGTTTTTAAATTTTTATTTTCAAGTTTTTTAGTTTCACTTTATTTTTTTCAATTTTTTTATTTTATTTTAATATTTTTAAAATTTTAAAATCTATTTTTACATTTATATTATTTTATATTATATTAGATTATTTATTCAAAATTATATGGATTTTTGTAAGATTCATCAATATTCCTAATTTAATTTAAAAAAATAATAACCTGCTATAGCCGAGTCAAATAAGTCCTGGCTTGATTGATTGTATTTTAAAAGTATGTATACTTATATGATACTCCGTACTTTTTTAGTACATGCAATGAGCTTAAGTGACGGATTAGAGATAGTACATTGTACAAGAATTTATGTGACCTTTTTTCTCACATTTTAATAACTCAAAGACATTTTTTAAAACCCAATTTTATTTACTATTCTATCTAAAAAACTTGAGAAGTCAAACTAGAAGCTTAATTTCAGGGGAGAGTAATAATATACTTGGAGGATTCTATAGTTTATAAAAATGAAAAATAATTGCAAATATATAATTTTATGGAATGAAAAAAGTTGGGAGAATATAGTATATTAATTGGAGGATATATGGATGTTTTTACTTGTACCTTAATTCATCCCAGACCAGATCAGACAAGGCAGTTCAGATCAGACCAGACAAGGTCAGTTTAGACCAAACCAAATCAAACGAAACTTGGATACTTATAAAAATATAAAGAGACTAGATATTATTAGACCAGATCAGTTCAGACCACATCAGACTAACAAATTAAAAAATAATCGTAAATAATCAAACTTTATTAAACTATATATTAATCCTACCGTAGTAAATCAATTGGTGATTAGAGAATGGCAATTGTCAAACCTATTTGTGATAGACTGACTACTACGGTAGCGTAGCCTTCTTCCTCCCATTTTCCTTCCGCACTATCACTCACTCCTCAAAATGGTCTGGTTTGGAGTTGATGGGTCAGGCCTTCGCTTTCCTTAAACCCTCCTCCCAGATGACATCTCAGCTCGACGCCGTCTCCGTCGCCGTCGCCGTCGCCGCCAAGCGCAAGCTGGAGGACTACTCCGATGACGTCTTCTACGCTGACTTCTTGATTCCCTCCGCCGTCAGAATGCGAAAGGACCAGCCCCTTCCCACCTCCCTCACCGATTCCCCTCACCTCTCTCACTTCCGCTCATCAGCCTCCTCCGAGGTTTCCACCTCCCAATCGTCGTCTTCCTTCTCCGCCGCTTCGTCCTCCTCGATCACCTCGTTTTCCGGACTATCTCGGTGCCCGGGTCCGGTTCAATTCTTCGTACGGTTGTTGTGCGGCGGGAGTACTTTAGTCCTCGAAGCATATCCGGATGACTCAGTGGAATCAATCCACGAGAAAATCCACTCAATCACCGGAATTCCTGTATTCGAGCAGAGGTTAATTTACAGAGGTAAGCAACTTCAGTGGGAGCAGACGTTAGCCGAGTGCGGTATTCAGAAGGATGCTGGGTTGCAACTTGTGGGACGGATGCGCAGCACAGGTCACCCTCAGGCATGGCAGTTCATGGACGACATGGTTTCAGCGATCCTTGAGCTCTACAAGAGCCAAAATCCTCAACCTACCATGCGAATAAAAACAAGGCTCAAGGATTTTCTTGAAAATATCCCGAGAGATAATGCTGATAAAGCGTCTGAATACCTTCAAATCTTTCTGGCGTCTCGTGCTCCTGCTGCTTTGGTGTTGCTTTATATGTCTCCTGTTAAAACTTATAAAGATTGTGCAGAAGAATCTATTCGCACGTTCATCAATTCAAGTAAGGTTAATGCGCACAATCCTATGCATGCTCAGTTTGCCCCTATAATTGTAGAGTTCTGTAAATTGTTAAATAGGGCTGTTGGGGTCAATGATCTTCTTTACAATCACAGTCGGAGTAGCTTGGGGTCTATAGTTGAATCTGTGGGTGAGGATATGATAGAAATGAAAGACATTATCCCATTCCTGAAGGAATTAGCAAGCAAAATATCAGTAGATTTAGGGATGCGGGTGGATTCAAACACTTTTGTGGGGCTATCAGCAAGTGAGGTGCAGGATTTCATAGCATTTTTGAATCCAGTGAAGAATGTAATAGCTGATGAAGTAACATGTTCTGGCCCGATCACTGTTCCATTGGAGGAGGAGGGCCATGATGATAGTAGTAGTGATCATTTGAAGCTTCGTGCATCATGCTATAAGAGCGCGATTAGACTGTTGCATTTCATTTTCCTGGATTTGCTCGAAAAAATGGAACACTGTTTAAAAAAAATGGAAGAACGGTTGGAAACTAGAGAGAATGGAGAAACTGTGTTCTTTGAGCTTGGATGGTGCCAATATCTAGCTATTCTGAAAGAACTGAATGGCATTGCCAACCTTTTCGAAGGTGCTGATGGGATCTTTTGGGAGATGTTGGTGCAGCGGAAGGTCTCTTTGCGCTATCTTGTTGTTAAATTTGCAAAAAGAAGCGATGACCATAGCTGGATTATGAAGCATAGGGAAGTTACTGATTTTGAGGCAAGGAGGCATTTGGCTATGATGAAGCTTCCAGAGCTAAAGGATGAGTACGATGAGCTGCATGAAATGCTCATTGACAGGTCCCAGCTGTTAGGAGAATCGTTTGAGTACATTGTAAATGCAGACCCCGACTCTTTGCGTAGTGGGTTATTCATGGAATTCAAGAATGAAGAAGCTACAGGTCCGGGTGTTTTAAGGGAATGGTTTTTCTTGGTATGTCAGTCAATTTTCAATCCTCAAAATGCACTCTTTATTGCCTGTCCCAATGATCGTAGAAGGTTCCTTCCGAATCCAGGTACACTGCATGTGCTGCTCCTTTAATTCCTTTTATTTTATGAAACTAATTAACTTATTGGAGTATTGCACTGATACCATAAATATAATTATATTACTATGTCTTATGAATATCTGAGGTTTAAACCTTTCACTGCATCCACATTCTTCTGATCACTGCAAAGAACTTTACACAATGAACCACTATTCTTGTACATATAACAGTTTTGTAGAGGGATTGGAAGGCGGTTCGTGAGTTTTTCTTGTTGTTGAAGAATTATAATTCCTATTCTCTTTCATGATAAATTGACAAATCAGTAACTTCTCTAATCTAACCTTTTATTGAGAATCTATTTTTATTAGAATGCAATACTGTAATGCATATCCTATGGGTGAAGGGTTCATGTGATTAACAGAAGCAGTAACTCCATTCCAAAGCACTAGGATATCCCATACCAACAGCTTGTTTTTTCATCTAATGGTTTAGCTTTTGTGAATAGGGTGTGCATTGTCTATATAAGTTAACCTTGGTTTTTGTATATTTTGTATTGAGTGATCAGTCTGTGCTTTCGTAATACCAACAAAAACTTAGCTTCTGCATTGGTTTCTCCCTTGCTAATAATGAGAAAAGACAAGTTGGTATTGCGTGGAGCATCAATACATTAGAATGTATATTCTCTTTTGTTCTTTTATTTTCTTAGAAGATGGCCATACATTCTTGTGTCTTAGACTAGTGTGCGCAAAGCAAAGTTTTCAAGCAAATGGTGAACCAGCTACATACCATACCTTTGCTTCAAAGGGCAAAGAGAAATGTCTCCTTTGTAAGAAACCCGTGTGAGATAGAAATGCTATTTTTGTGATCCAACGCGATATAAACTGTTTTTAAGCAGCCCATCATATCAAAAGAAAATAAGAAAGTTATTAGTAGTAATAATTCGATGCAACTAGCTATTCAATTATTCATCAGTTGGTCTGTTAGTATTTCTTCCGAAAATATTCCTACATTTATGTTCATTACCAAAAATCACCCTAAAACCAACACCATTATCTTTGTAGGCTTCTTCTTATTCTTCCTCTTTTTCTTTACCAACAAGTTTGTTTAGAAACTCTAATGAGGCATAACATTCTTTTCAGTGGTTGTAATTGTGCAATGAGCCTGGCGCAATGATTATGGAGAGAAAGCAGATTACTGAACTAAACTCTCTGTGCAGCCTTGATAATGTTTGAATCTTTCTTATGTACTTTTATCCTTTTATTATATATATATATTTATATATATATATATATATATATATATATATATTATCCTTTTTATCTTACCATTTTTATGTATATCTTATCTCTATTTTATCTTATCTTTTTTTTTGGTTATTTTTTTTTATGTAAATCTAAATTAGTGGGTTTAACATATTTTTTTATTATCATACCTTATCTTTTTTTCCTTTGGGCTCCAATATATTATTGTTATCTGACCCCAAAATCTTTTGGGACAAAGGCTTGGATGTTGTATATCTTAATCTTGATGTTAAACCCACTAATGTAGATTTACTAAAACTCTCTTAGGGTTCTGCACCTACTTTTTGAGCTATGCTTCAGGAATCTGTGCATTTAAACCTATTTCACCATGCATGTAGTAATTACATGGCACTTTTTGCATTTATTGGCTTGTTTAAACATCTTTTCTGCTTTTTGCTTCTTAGTTCCATTAACTGCTCCTGACTGATACACACATAGATAGTCTTTTGTTATGGGCATTCATATGTTCAGTATATGACTGTTCAATTTTTTTTATTTTTTAAAATCTTTTTCCAATTTCTTGTCAGACTTTTTATTTTCAGCAAGGAAAAGATTGCTAGTGGGGCAAACGTCCTGTTAGTTAGAGTACACAACTATACATGCAATATATACAAACGCAGATGCATGAACACACACACACACACGTGTTTAGTTGGTTACTCTTTGAGGTGTATATTTGATGTAAATAACACTTCTTTGATCTGATTTTAATTGCAGCATCTTCTGTGGACCCACTGCATCTTGAGTATTTTAGATTCTCTGGCAGGGTGATTGCACTAGCATTGATGCATAAAATACAAGTTGGAATTGTCTTTGATCGTGTGTTCTTTTCTCAATTGGCTGGAAACAATGTTTCCTTGCAAGATATAAAAGATGCAGATCCATTTCTTTATAATAGCTGCAAACAAATATTGGAGATGGATGCAGAAGAAGTTGATCAAGACACCCTTGGCCTAACCTTTGTACGAGAAATTGAAGAATTGGGCTCCAGAAAGATTCTTGAGCTTTGTCCTGATGGGAAAAATATCACTGTAAATAGTAAAAATAGAAAGGAGTATGTTGATCTTCTTATTAAGCAGTGTTTCGTCACCTCGATAGCAGAACAGGTAGCCCATTTTGCTAAAGGTTTTGCGGACATCATAAGTAACTTACACCTTCAAAAGTCATTCTTCGAGAACTTAGATCTTGAAGATCTCGACTGGATTCTTCAGGGGAGTGAAACATCTGTTTCAGTGGAAGACTGGAAAACACACACAGACTATCATGGTTTCGAAGAAAGTGAACCTCAGATTTCCTGGTTCTGGGAGGTATGTGTTTTCTCTCTCCTGGATTTCTTATTTTCACCCTATGAGGCACGTAAACTCTTGGAAAATAGTTTGTTTCCGTTTTGGAAACTCTTTGGTAACTCTCCAGACAGTTGATTTTCTATTTAAAAGATGTCAATTTCCCGTTCCACGTTCCCACATGATTCCCACGTTTCTGTGCAACAAAGTTTTCACCTCTTACTTTTTAAGAAACTATTTGGAATACAGAAAATCGTAGAGAAAAGAAACGAGGAATGTAGTTTTGTTGTTGGATAATTTCCTGAGGTATTCCTTGGATTTGAGGTATTTCTCAAAATGTCCATCTCTTATGCCTGGTTCTGGAGATGAACCTGAGGCCCTTAAAGACTAGAGAGTTTCTTATGGAAACCAATAGATTTGTGGAATTGACCATAATGATCATCTGTGCTTGTTTTTTATGGAACACTCCTTTTTTTCTTGTCAGAGAGGTAGGTTTGTCGGTCTGACTAAACATGCTGTTGAATTTGGACATCCCATGGTCGCTCATGACTGCATGAGACTGGATTATGACCCAAGTGTCATGTGTTTTTAGAGTTTTAGTTTCTAGCTTAGCACTGCAATGTGGGATGTTTTAGCCTGCCTTAGGTTTATTTTAAGAACTGTGTATATGTGAATCATTTTCAGAAGTACCCAAAACTAAGTATTACCACATAAAATATTCCCTTCTGTTTGTTACTATGTACTACCTCCGTCCCCCTAAGTTTGGGACAAGAGAAGGTGGCATGGTTATTAATAAAAGTGGGTTTATGTGGTTGATATTGAATTGATAAAGTAAGAATAAAGTAGGAATGATTTAGAACCACACAAACTTTACCAAATAAGGTATGAGACAATCTTAGTGGGACAGACCGAAATGGTAAAATGGGACAATCATAGCGGGACGGAGGGAGTATTTATTACCTTGAAAAATCAAGTTTTTTTTAATTCTTACACATGCTTAGATTTGAGGTCTTGTGATGTTTTTACTTGGACTGAAAACAAAAGTAAAAACATCCTTAAATATTAGAGTTATATCAATAATATTCATTTGAACTTGTATCTAAAATACATTTGATTTATAGCAATATTTATTTTTCCCCCTAATTTTCTTTATCTTTTTATGTTCTTATGTTATTTTTATCTTCTAGCTTTTTTATGCTCTTTTATCTTTTTATCTTTTATCTTTCTCATATTCTTATGTTATTGCTATCTTATAATTATTTCTCTTTATCTTATCCGTTTTATCTTACTTTTTTGTCTTCTTCTTCTGTCTGTCTGTCTGTCTTCTCCGTTTGGCATCGATGTTATGGATCGGTTCATGTTAGCCGACCCAAAATCTTTTGGGATTAAGGCTTGGATGTTGTTGTTTGTTTCCTTAAAAGTTTCCCCTGTTTGCTCCATTTTACCTACATAATTTGTCTCACTATAATTTTTCCGACCTGACCCCAAGTGATAAAGATTTATGATGGCTTTTGAAGAACTTTTTATAATTAAATTTCCTAAAATATCTTTTCTTTTTTACGCTCTTAGCTAATGCATTCACGTCTCTAGGAATCTTTTTACTTATTGTGTTCTGTGACAGTGAATCCCTGTTACATACATTTCTGCTGTTTTCATCATTCCAACAGTAGTCTTTCAGTTTTATTAACCCCTTAAAACTTGAATGAGTGTTCTGATAATAGGCCAACTGTGCACATTCAGTTTTATAATGTGCTGGGAAAGATCTGTAGCTGGATGAGAATGAATCAGTGGCGCCTATCCTTTTTGGGCCTTGTCATATTTTGATAGCTTAGAGAATGAGTAGTGCTTTGAGATGTCAGCATTATCTTTGTATTTACACTTTACCTTAGATGAAGACGATTCTAACAATCTGACCATATGTTGTCAATAAGAGTAATAAATAATGGTTTGCTAGGTAGGGATCAGTTCTTATTCCTTTCCTCTATAAATTTCTAGGAGAAAATATTCTGTAGTTTCGTTGGGCACTCCACCTAAGAATTGAAATTCCAAAGGAGAACTGTTTTTCCTTGTTTCCAGGGAAGAGAGTTTAAATTCCAGGACTACAGTTTCCTTTTGTTTATGTTTCCTTTGCCATAAAGCATTAGTAGGGACAGTTTAATCTTTGTACATGTTCTTCCTTTATTGTGCTATAACTACCCACACAATGGACCACTTTTTCCAAATAGCTCTAATCGCTCCAGCCAAACTTTAGACTTTTGGCTGTTCTTTGTCCAACAGATATTCCTCCCCGCGGAATCAATTTTTTTCCCTTTCCACAAACCAAACAAGGCAGACGTATTTGTCACTAGCATATATGAGAATCTGTATGGCAAGAAAAAAAAACTGTATGGCAAGAAAAGCCTTGCAAGTAGAGATGGGTTGTCACAACAATCCTTGCAATTTCAGTTTACACACTAACAACACAAGCCATTTTCCTCTTTTGCAGATAGTTGGGCAAATGACAGCAGAACAAAAAAATGTTCTTCTATTTTTCTGGACATCCATAAAGTTTTTGCCGATAGAGGGGTTTAGTGGGTTGGGGTCTAGGTTATGCATATACAGAAGCTCAGAGTCTTTTGACCACTTGCCTTCCTCACACACATGCTTCTACCGCATATGCCTCCCTCCTTACCCATCCCTGGCCATCATGCAAGACAGGCTTAGCATCATCACTCAAGAGCATGTGGGCTGCAGCTTTGGGACATGGTGAATGAAAATGAATCAACCTACCTACCTTGCACCCTCTGTGAGTGAGGGATCAAACAAATGATGATTCTTAGTTGAACATAAGATATGGATGTACTCGGTCAGCTTGTGTATATTATATGTGAAGGGGTAATCTTAATAATTATTGAAATTCGACTGATTCTAAGGTACCATTCCATTTCGATTACATATTTATGATGAATTTTTAGGCATTTTATTCAAACGTTTCTGTACAGGCATATTATTATGTATTCTATTCTACTGTGTATATAAGGGACTAGGATTTTCTCCCGACTTTTGGTCTTTTTCAGCTCCTTATTTTTTCAGTTTGTCGCTTGTAACTTTGTAAGCTGTAACTTTCTGTTTGAGACCGTTTAGCCCGTGTGATTCGTGAAGTAGCTCCACACTCCGCTTTGAAGTTGATGGCATACTTTACCGATAGTCCGGATTACTTAGATATGATGGAAAACATCATTGTTCCATTTAGTAGAATGTGGATGCATTGTGTCACTGTGTTATATGACTTATTTTTATCCTGATAGAGGTGGACCTGGTTCTGGGATTAGGCGGGCAAAGCACCAGACTATGACGGTCTGCACTGCAAAGTAGGCTTAAGGTGGACTTGTTCGTTTTTCATTATTAAAATACGTTAAAACAGGGTCTGCACTGCAACTGAGTTAAACCGTCACCAAACTGGACATGTTTTTTCTCAGTCTTGGTATGGGTAGCACCGTAGCACGAACGTTGGATTCTGTATGCACCTAAACCGGGTCTGTCCCTAATTGTGGGTTTGACATGATATGTTATGGTTACCTAAGGGGTTTTCTGATGTAGTTGTGAGATTGTGTTTATTTCAATCCACAATAGAGGGAGTAACACGATAAATACTTGACGCGTTTGGTAGATCACTAAGCAATCAAAGAAATTCAGTCATGATTAATGATACGTACTTGTGTTTTAGATTTTTCCTTTGATGATCTACCTTAGCTTGTGATATAAAATCTGTTTGTTACTCTATTTTAGCAAAGTTCCGGTTGTCTTTATTTATCATTGAAGACACTTGAGAGAAAAACAAACTTTAGAAGTGACAATCTTTTTACGAGCAAAAAGGAATAGTAAAGCGTTACCGAACTCCTCCATACTACACAAGACATTATTTGATGCATTAGAGGTTTTGACTTTTTGAAGTAAGGTTGTCGACCTCGTCCCCATGGGTGGACTCAGGCCGGTTCGGGCCCGGTTCGGGCCTGGGCCCCGCCGGGCCTCGGTTCAGGAATGGGAGGCCCGGAACCAGCCCGGGTAACCCCGGGTCCGGGCCGGGCCGGGCCTTGCTTCTATTTTTTTTTTTTTTTGGCTTTTCCTAATTAACCCCCAACCCTCACCCCTCACCCCCAAACCACCTCAAATGGCCAAAATACCCAGCCCAACCCAAAAACTTAAAAAAAAATTCAAAAAAAAAATCCATTTGGCCCGGATGGGGCCCGAACCGGCCGGGCCGGTTCACCAATCCTAGGGCCCGAGCCCGAACCGCATTCCTACCGGGCCGGGTCGACCCGAACCGCCCCCCGGACCGGTTCCCGGGCCGGTTCAAACAGTAACCGGGCCGGGCCGGTTCCGGGCCGGGCCGCCTGGCCCGAGTCCACCCCTACTCGTCCCGAGACTCGGACTGGAAAATAAGGTTTTGGGCTGGGAGCCTGGGATTGAGACCAGAGTACGACCAGACCGGTAGAAAGAGATATCGGTTCCGTTTTTTCCTTTGCATTTCAACCACTAGGGAAGCAGTGTAAAAGGGGTGCATGGGAGTGTTTTAAAGCTGAAAAAGGTTGAGGGGATGAAGGGGTTAAAGTTATACTCCTACTACGTATAAAGAACGGGATCGAGACTGGTAGGGGACCGGAACTGGCCCGAAACTGGATACGGAGTATATAAGTCATGATCTCTGGCAGCAATAGATGGAAGGCTAGAGACTGTTTTTCAACACTAAATTGGCTAGTTTTGTTTCCGTTAAAACTGCTAAATTTGTGGTTCCTTTGGCTAGATCGCTAAAATTTGAATTTTTAGTTAAAACGGATATAAATCCATTCTCTTTCTACTTTTGCTTCTTTTAGCAGCGTTTTTTGTTAGAGTTTTTTATGTTCATTTTGATTTATGAAATGAAGTCATTTTAGAACATTTGGAATAAGCTGTTGCAAATTGCTTTTTCTTTGTGTACAGTTACTAGAAAAAACATAATGTATTGATTATGATCATGTATTAGCTAATAGTAATAGTAATAGCTTTACAGTTAATAACTAAAGGCTATGCAACTTTATTCACTCCGTATTTCGCGGTGCTAAAAAATTAGTAACATATATATTTACATCTGTTTTGCATTTATAATTGGATTTCAAGGTAAATAGTGTATATTAGAATTGAATAAGTTAGATTACACATGAATCAAGTATCTTAATCAACTTTTACTCTTACTGATTACACTTTCATTCAAAAACTCAACTTTCTTCCTCTCTTTGAAGTAGTAATATTTTTAAAATTGCAAATTCACGCACCCTCATAATATATATATATATATATATATATATATATATATATATATATATATATATATTAATAAAATAGAGAAAATGTTATATGAAGGAAAAGCTAAAATATTCGGTTCCCACAAATCTTATATTTTTATGGTTTATAAAAAATTACTCGCTTAATTAGAAGTGTTGATAAAAAATACTCCCTTAGATAAAAACACTTAGTCAACCCAAAATCTTTTGAGATTAAGGTTTGGATAATGTTGTTGTTGTATAAAAGTATACTCGTTTAGAAGTGTGAAAAATTAAAGATGAGGTTAGTAATAAATTGGCCCTTGATGAGATTATTTGGGTTCATTGTTAGTAATGCCATTTATATATGAAGCTACCAACTAATATGCCATTGACATTCCATGAATCACGATATTATCAAACCACATAAAGCATACATTAAAAACATAAAACATAAATCTTAAAAACTAAATACTATCATCAATGATCAAACATTAGAAAACACATTACAAATACAAACACATTCTTTAATAATAATAAATTCTTTAATAATAATAATAATAATAATAATAATAATAATAATAATAGTAATAATGATAGTAATAGTAGTAACAACAATAATAGCTATAACAGTATTAGATTTAGTATTAGAAATTCGTTATCCCAATCTTTGAATCTAAATACTCTTTAGCCTGCAACTTCTTACTTCTGTGCCAACAGATTCCAGCCACCACAACCTAAGCAGTAGCAGTCGGAGCCACCACGGTTTCCTCTTTCACCACCATCTCATCAGCAGGACTTTCTTCTTCCTCGGCAACCGTTTCTTCTGAATTTGCTTCATCAGTATCATTTGATTCTGTTTCTTCAGCTTCAGAATCCACCACTTCTTTGCTATCTTCAGCCTCTTCTTGATCATCTTGGGGAGTTTCTAATTCAATAAGTGGGGCCACATCTTCTTCCCTTGGAGCCTCACTGGTTGTGTTCACCTCAACATCAACTGGAACATTCTCTGTTCCTATTGTGGGAACTGATTCAACCTGCAAATTTATAATTTATATACATAGAGATCAATATCTTGTTTTTTCAACCATTTTTACCAAAAAACTGATATAGTTTTCGACAATTAATATCACATTACATTTTTTTCCCTCAAACAGTTCATAATGTGTTTATTATTAAAAGCAAAAGACAAGTTGACATTAGATCAATAATTCATAGGATTGCACATTTTATCAAAATAATCACCAACAAGGAAGAAAATTAATTATAACAAAAGTCGCACCTCGTTAAACGTTTCACAAAATGAATTGCTACCTGAAGTGTTTTTTGTTATGCTGATTTATTTCACGAAACTGATAAAAATTATTGGGATTGATTTTAATTTATGTATGTGTATAACTCCTCAAACATGGGTTGTTGAAGTCCACATTCAATCTTTTAAGATCTCTCTTATCATTTAAAAAAGAGTCTGAATATGACTAAAAATTGATAAAAGAATTAGATTGATTACATGGATAGCTATTAGAACATACGACTACGTATAAAATGGGCTAGACTATATATCTATACATATTATGTTCAAGATGTTTTTTTGTTTAATAAGTATACATGGTTATGTGTAATTTAAGCTAAGTTTAGGTACATGTATTTAATTGTAATACTAATTTGGAAACCAAAGTGTATGAATATTTCTTCATTACAGGTACCATGTGCTTATCAAGTTATCTCCAAACTTCTCAAATGTTTATGATGTTTTGAAAGTATCACTGATATTTTTTCCATAACCAATACTTCCTGATTTGCAACCATTGGTGATTTTTGACAAATGATCTTTAAATGTCTATTTTTTAAGTATAGGATTCTATTTGATGAGCATTATTAATACTTTGTAAAAACCTTACAAAACACATTTGATATTAAATTGTATTTCTAGTAAAAATAAGTTTGGGATAAACAAACTACTGATATAATGATGTTGCTAATTAATACTATCGTACTAAGTATATGCTACAATACTTTTATATATTTTGTTTCTTTGAACATGTAAAAAAAACTAACGTAACATAAAGAAAACCCCATTAGCTCACGTTTCATTTTTATGAATTGGTTAATTAATGAGTTGAGATCGATTGTTATTGTAAACTTCTTTACTAATATACTATGTATGTTTTTTTGTGAAGTGCATAGATTGTTGATATCAATGTAATTTCATGCACACAAAAAGAGAATAAAGCCGCTCAAATCTTCATGTTGCACTAAATAAACAAACTACGCTTAAACTAGCTTAGTAGCGCTAAAAGGATCCATTTGAGCAGCTAATTTAGAGCAATAGAGATTTAAATTTAAATAATGTATACATATACCTGAGCACTAGCAGCCATTTGAAGTGCTTAATTAACTGGGAGTTAAAAATTAAGGATGAGAGTAAGAATAGGATGGCAAAAGAAGGTGTGATGAGAAGAAATGATGGGGTAAAGAGCTATTTATAGAGATGCATAACCACCTAATAGCTGTAATAATTCTTTGTTTAATGGAATGTTGAGATGTGTGTACACTAATGGAATCTTTAATTTTTCACAAGTCATAATGAGGTTTTAATAACAATTAAACTTTAATCTAGAGATATCACCATGTCTTTAGAGATTGAGAATTCGAATCTTGTACTACGTACTAAAAAGATAACCGTGTTAACCAAATCCTTCATGTTTGTGAGATCTCAGATTGAGTGGTACTATTCTTTCCAAAAACTATGTTTTAATGTAATGAACTGTTAAAAATACTTATTACGTACCCAAGTTGTTTTTTCCGTTAAACAATTGTTAATTCGTAATCTAGATTTATGCGAATGATGAATTAATTTATCCCTCTTTTTCCTTGGTGCGGTGATTTTTAACTATTTTCAATTCTTCATAATGTCAAACACAATGTACAGATGAGTCTAATGCACCAAACCCCCTCTCATATAGAAATTCAACGCATTAGCTCATGTGATTTTAAAAATGTTTCAAACTCTTCTGTGTTATAATTACTCATGCGTAGAATCTCTACTATGAATAAATTCAATTGTAAAAATTATTAGCATTTATGTATAATGTTGGGATTTAGACAGACTTACATGTTCAGTAATAATATGAAGATGAGTGATTTCCAAATTATTCAATTTATTCATTAAAGGGGTTCTGTGCATTATATCATTAATAATTATAATAGATGGGGGTTTGCAGATTATTTTAAGTCACGCGGAGCTAATGCACTGAATTTCTATATCATGAGAGAGTTTGGTGCATTAAATCAATGTTTGGATATAAAAGTTATACGTAGTATACTAGTATATGACAATTTAAATAAAAAGTACTAATTAAAAATCAACACATCATTGTTGGGATTGGAAAATTCTTCTATTCAATATCAAAAACAAAATTATAATAGGAGGAACAAACTCTCACACTCAACTATTACAAAAAATCAATCTCACTAATGCACTCCTACTCCAAGTGTATTTCACTCTTCACACATTTTTCTTACTTTAGAAAGCGATGCTCATGAACAACAATGGACTCCCTATTGCATGAGGAAGTTGCATCCAACTTCCAAGCTTCCATTCACATTGCTAGGGAGGTTCCTAGCTATCTCCGAGCAACTTTCATGAAGGGATGTGGAAGTACCTTAATGTTGGATGGCTCCTTCCTAGAAGGTGTCAGATATCTCTCATCAACTTCCAAGAAAGAAGGTAGAAGATCCCCACAAACATGATCACGTGTTTGTCATCTATAATGACAAGTCACTATATGTGTTTATTCTATTACTAGTTCAGTAACGCGCATTGCGCGTTCGTGGTAATGCCCAAGGCTATTGTAGGGCTATTAATTCCCCGATTTAGTTTGAGTCAATATGAATTATGATACAATATTTGAATACTTAGTTTGTTATGTATTGATAAGGAATCTTAATCAGTAAAGACAACAAATTTAAACTTTAATCCAAGTTTGGCGATGTGAGTGTATGATTTTGCTGATAAAATAAGCACATTAAAAGACAAGACATTTAATTTAAACTTTAACTCAGAAAGTGAAAGCATTAAAAGACACTCCCTCCGGTTTTTAATAAACTTCACACTTTCCTTTTTGGGACGGTCTAAAATAAACTTCACACTTCCTTATTTCCTTTTTTGGCAAAGAAATCTACATCAAAACAGTGTCAAACAGTGCCAAACAGTGTCTCTACAGTGCCAAACAGTGTCAAACAGTGCCTCAACAGTGTACTCTACAGTAAAGTCAAATTTATTTCCTTATTTTGTGTGAAGTCAAACTGTGAAGATTAAAAAAAAAACGAAAGTAGTATAAAGTATGACGAACATATGAATATAAAATATGCAGGAAAATATTGATGAAATAAAGTATGACAACAAAATATGCAGGAAAGTTTTGATGAAATTTAAAAAGAAATAAAGTATGAAGAACATATGGTAGTTCAAAGTCATTAAATTGATATTAGAATTCCATTTCGTAATAATAGAATGTAATGGAACAGAAACTAAAACCATTTAAAGCAGCAAGTTTGAAAATGATAAAAAAGTTTAAAACCTTCCATCTTAAGTGATGGATGTGAAAATGACAAAGGGTTAACCGTAATATATAATTAGAGTATATGGAATGGAATTTTAAACTTAAACTCAAAGCAGCATAATGGTTTACACGTGCTAGACAAAGCAATGTTTTGTCCCATTGAAAAATACTCCGTAGCTAATTGTGTTTGCTTTAAAAGCAATCATTCTACAAAATTTAAAACTAAAAGTAAAACACGAGCATTTCAAACTAACAGAGTTTCTTAAGTAGTTATGCTTTAGGATTTTTATTATTCTAAATGCATAAGTTAGTCTTTCTTTTGTTAAGAAAAGGAAGCCATTGTTTGTTGGTTATTTTGAGAGAGAGAGCAAGGATGGTTGATTCCATGATATAAAACCTACCCACTTGGAAAGAAACAAGGCAAAATTATTGGAATCAGATGTATCAGCATCAAAATCACGATTTCTCCTGAACTAATGAACAAAAGATTATAGCTCGAAGTTAAAACTTAAGTACCATCACATTTGCTCAACTAAGTTTAAATTAAAATGGGGCAAATTGGGTAAGCAATATGCAATGTTATTACTAACCTGCATTTTTTTCTTGCTGAAAAGTATAATGGTAGCCATCTCATGTCTGAAATGGGATTCCTCACCATTTCATAAACACTGAATTTAACATAGTAGCAAACCAAAAGGAGGTGAAAATGAGAAGAAAAAACAGCCTCCAACTGTAAGTTAATGTGAGGTAGTTACCTAGAACACTCCACATAGCAATCAAGATACAGAAAGGGATACAAAGAAATAAGCAAGGAATATAAACGCAGGGCAATTAAATCAATCAAACAATACAGAAGCAAAGAAGCAAGTGCAAGGTAAAGCAACTATGCTAATTTAGAAATGAATTGGATTTAAATGTTAATGAAATATATAAATCATTAGAAGAGAAGAAAGTGTGAGAATAATGGGAAAGCCGTACTCCAATAGGAGCCCTGGCAGGTATATTTATAATAAAAGGAAGTTTCCAAAATACATAATTATTCCTAATTAATATAAACTATTACACCCCCTCAAACTGTGCGGGAGATACAACGCGCAGGTTGTCTTTTAAAAAATGAAATTGCTGACTAGCTAAACTCTTAGTAAAAATATCCGCGAGTTGGAGATGTGTAGGAACGTATTGAACAACCAAATCACCATGAGCAACTCTTTCCCGAACAAAATGATAGTCAATCTGAATATGTTTACTTCGAGCATGTTGCACCGGATTAGCTGTCAGATATGAAGCTGATATATTATCACAGAATAGCTGAACAGGAATACGAATCGGTAGACCCAACTCAAAAAGTATGGAACGAATGTGAAGGGTATCCTGTACTGTGTATGCAATTGCTCGATATTCGGCCTCGGTAGATGACTTGGACACAGTAGACTGCTTCTTGGACTTCCATGATATAAGATTCGGTCCTAAGAAAATGGCAAAACCAGAAGTAGAGCGAGAACTATCAGGACATCCTGCCCAATCAGCATCAGAATAGGCCAAAAGACGAATGGGATGAGTAGAAGCCTGAAGCCATAATCCATGATCAATAGTACCCTGTAAATACCGAAATATGCGCTTGACAGCAAGCATGTGAGGAGTGCGTGGAGCATGCATGAACTGAGACACTAAATGAACTGCATAAGTAATATCAGGTCTAGTCAAAGTTAAATACTGTAATGCACCTACCATACTGTATGCATAGGAGGTACCTCAATTGATCCATCAACAATACCAAATAAGCCTTGAGAAACCAAGAAGGATTCGAACTGAGTGCGCCAAGTGAGATAATCTTCCACCGCCTTCAACTTGATGGTAACAATTTGAGAGACCGTGGTAATATGCGACACGGACTGAGCAAGGGCCGACATAGGAGAACCAAAACCAGTGTGGTCAGGCGGCCGAATGATGCCTGTGGTTCCGGAGAACGTCGAGCCAAAAAACGGAGAAGATGGCGGCGGTGTGGGAGAAGCCGGTATAGAAGGCCGAAAAAGAGGTGGCTGACCCGGGAAGTGAGGTGGCATCGACTGGAAGAGGCTGTAAGGTTCAGCCATAGAGTAGATCGGCGGCGGTGGAAAATTTGTAAAAAGAGTTGAGGAAGAGGGTATAGATGCCGTCAGTATGGGTGAGGTGGGGAAGTGGACTGCCGGCGCCGTGGTGATGACGGCCGCGACGGACGATTCCATGGTGGTCGAAGCCACTGCTGCGGCCGAAGTCATGGGGGAACTCATGAGGCGGCCGAAAAATTTGAGAGAGAAGGGGAGATTAGGTTAGGCTCGTGATACCATGTGAGAATAATGGGAAAGCCGTACTCCAATAGGAGCCCTGGCAGGTATATTTATAATAAAAGGAAGTTTCCAAAATACATAATTATTCCTAATTAATATAAACTATTAGAAAGAACTTACAAAACAATGTCAAGAATTTAAAAAAAAATGCTACATAGCAGGTGCCAGATATTTATAGATGAATAATAGAGGACTCCTGAGCATCCAAATAACAGTTTCAAAATCATGAAAGCGGCTGCTTGCAGGCCTTTCTTGAACGGAAAAGAAGAAAAGGGAAGGTTGCAGGTGAAATACGAAGTACTTCGTATAGGTGATGACCGAGAATAGTCAAATATCCTCGCTTTAAGCCTAACGGCAAGTTTGACACCGTGAGCCTTTGCACCGTGACAACCGAAAACTCCTTCAAGTTGTATAACCTAATATGCATCCGGTATGATTGGCCAATGCAAAAAAAGACACGAACATTTTCCTTAGTACCATAATACCCCTAAAAATATTCATGCTTATACAATTGTAGAGATATCACGTGTACATGATCAGACTTTTGTATTG